TATTTGTAGAAACTACTAGAGACATGCTAAGAAAACAATCTATAAAACCAATTTTTGAGACAGACTATATATGTCACTTTCCAATTTGATCATGAATTTTAACCAATAAAACACATGACTGAAATATTGAATCTTATTTCAAATTATATTTTTATTCAATACATGATAGTTTTCAAGGAAGCTAAGTTTCAATCAAAAAATATGTAAGAGAAATATATATATATATATATATATATATATATATATATATATGTGTATACACACACACACACACAAACACACACATATATATGCACACACACATATATATATAATGGGGGGCAGCAAGATGACAGATTGGAAAAGTTATGAGATTGATAGGGTGATCTAGGTGGGAAGCAGATGGGAAGTGAATTGGAGCAGTGGTAGTGAAACTGCAGGAAAATGTACAGATCTGAGAGTATTTAGATGACGGAAGCTACAGAGCCTGAGTGAATCAAGGCCGGTGGTAGTAAAGAGAAAGAAGGAGTGAAGGAAAATCTTCAGGCATTTGGTGTGAACAGTTGGGTAGAAGGGCACTTAGATCGGCAATATGAGAGGTCTGGGCAGACTGGGGCTATCCCCCAGAGGGAGTGGTGGGGGCTGTGTATGTGGAAGGGGCTTGTTAATAAACTCTTTTGGGACGTGCTGAATTAGAGGTTCTGTGAGCAACAGGTGTTGGTGTCTAACAGGTGGCTGGCTATGTAGATCCTGGGCTAACTCTCTCCCAAACGGTTCTGTCCTTGAGATTTAGACTTAAATATTCAAATGCCTGACAGGTAACTCCACTGAGAGGTCTGACACACTCATACTGCCTCACAGTGAATGTCTCATCTCCCTGCGCCCCCTCCCTCCACCTTCTCATCCCGCTCTCTGCCACTACATTCACTCCCCTACCCCTCACCTGTCCAAGGGTGGTACCGCCATATTGCTTGGACTCATGCAATAAACTGCTTCACATCCTCTTCGTTTCTATATACCCAGTGTCCAGGGCAAGCAGCGCCTGGGGACCCAGCTCAGTGTGCCCCAGGTACTTGGAAATAGATCTCAGAGAGATAAGCTAGGAAGTCATCAGATGATAGGTCAGAGCTCAGATAATGCAGTCAAGTCTGACTGTAGCCTGATTAAGAAGGATGAAGGGGCCGGGTGTGGTGGCTTAAGCCTGTAATCCCAGCACTTTGGGAGGCTGAGGTGGGCGGATCACCTGAGGTTGGGAGTTTGAGACCAGCTGACCAACATGGAGAAACCCTGTCTCTACTAAAAATACAAAATTAGCCAGGCGTGGTGGTGCATGCCTGTAATCCCATCTACTTGGGAGGCTGAGGCAGGAGAACCGCTTGAACCTTTAGGTGGAGGTTGTGGTGCTGAGATTGCGTCATTGCACTCTAGCCTGGGCAACAAGAGTGAAACTCCATCTCAAAAACAAAACAAAACAAAAAAACAACAACAAAAAGAAAGATGAAGGATGAGTTAGCAATGGAGCTCAGCAAGGCAGAGTCAGAAAAGGAAATTCTGGTAGCATTATCCACAGCATGGTGGTCCCTGGGGGTGCAGGCAGACAGACACAAACACCAAGTCCTTGTGGCAGAGTATCCCTATGATGGAGAACGAGTATGAAGCTCTAATATTCTGGTCCTCCTTGCCTTAAGTTTACTCATTTCCCTTGCTCACCAGGTAATCTCTGACTAGAATTAGGCTTGCCATGCATATTTGCCTACAGGAAAAGAGGCACTAATCAGCAAGGATGATTATCCTGTACATCTGAGCGTATGCATCAGTTACCATCACAAATCATTAAATTAGCATTCCAGCCTGCGAATGGGAGTCTCTGTGAACTTATTAATGCATGCCTCAGGATCTGAGAGGCAGGTGCATGCCTTGGTATGCTGACAAATTCAGTATCTAAGAGTTCTATTTTACTTTTCTCCCATGATAAAAATGATATGTATTCATTATTGCTTTCTCTTTTCCACTTTGTCTTTGTTTCTAAAATCACTCATAATTTCAAACATCATCCAAAAACAACTACTACTAATTGTCAGGACGTTTCCTTCCAATCTGTTTTCTATGCATAAGGAAATAATGTTTAGCAATTATTTCATTTCTTTTTTGTAAAAATGAAATACAGATTTGCAATCCCAAATGACAAAATTCCTAGTCAGCTGTGTGGAAAACAGTTTTGGCTGCTTTCCTCATGCCAAAAAAAAAGTTGACTACATTGTAGTAAAATAACTAATTTCTGCAACCTGACCAAGAAAGAGGTTCCCTGTTTCCAAGACCTTGGCAAGAATCATAAGCAAAAAGGGCAATCTAATTCAGCTTTTATGAGAGTCACTGGTTAACCTCCAAAAACTGTAATTACCCAACTAGCTATATGCTACACATTATCCTTCTAAGCTAAAATTCCTGTCCCTAGTAAAAATATCTAATATGTATGTGTCTGTGTAGGCACATTAGGTGCTTTCCTAATTTTCCCATTCTTTCAATATTTATTAGCTAGTCTTCTTCCATAAAGAGCTCTGTCATAAACTCTTTGGTTACCCTGAAATATGAATCATAGAAGACACTCTGAATAAATGTTGATTCTTTCCCTTAATTCATTAAGTTTAAATTCTTGATGCTCAGAAACGTTAAGTGCTCAGTAACTGGGAACTGATATCGTTTGTGTGCCTTTGGCTTTGCTGCAATTTAGACATCTTACTATGATGTAAACAAACAAACAAATGAAAATAATCACCAAAACGTTCCACAGTTTTATTTTCTTTAACCCAAACTCAGTCACAAGCAGCTGAGGCTGACGAGTCAAGGAGGCGTACATACCTCATTCTCTGATGAACTTGCAGAGAGAAGCACCTCTTGGGCATCAAAGAACTCAGAAACAGACTCTGACATAGAGAGGCGGCTCTCATTGGCTACTTGCTGTGATAGGGGGAGACTGACATGGATTTGCTCACCAGCCTGCAGAAGACAGAAGAATAAAGTGTAATTGCTTTTCCCCGTTAGAGTAGCTATTCCTTCGAATTAGCCATATTTCTGCTCTTTAATACTGTGTGTTAAAAAGTGGCAACCACAAGTAATTTTCACTTACAATTCAGTAATGACCACTGTATAAGTGTCCTTCCAAGGTGTCTAAAGTCCCCAAAAGGAATAGCTGAAAGGTGTTGGTACTGTGCCTTGATTTTAAATCTTTGGTTGATTGATACTAAGAGGAATTTTACAGTTTAAGCCGCTATGAATATCCTGAATTGATTATAGAGAAAAGATCATTCTCTTATTCTTAGGTCTGTCATATTCTAGCAGTAGATTAAACATAAAGAGGTATTTGTAGAAACTACTAGAGACATGCTAAGAAAACAATCTATAAAACCAATTTTTGAGACAGACTATATATGTCACTTTCCAATTTGATCATGAATTTTAACCAATAAAACACATGACTGAAATATTGAATCTTATTTCAAATTATACTTTTATTCAATAAGTGATAGTTTTCAAGGAAGCTATTTAAGTTTCAATCAAAAAATTATGTAAGAGTCATATATACATGTCTAATGAATGACTATATATATATATATATATATACACACATATATATTACACATTTCAGGTTGAAAAGAAGATTCCAACTGAGATTATCAAATTACTTTTGAATGACAAATTTTCTGGGCAGTTGAGTGAATATAAGTATGAGAACACGGGGCCCATGGAGGTGAACAGATATTTAGGGTGGAAAACTTAAGTCGAAGAAGTTGTCTTGGAATAATGTTTCCTAAGAAGTTAGAACCCTGTACCTATAGATTTCTAGTAAAATGTATGTTTTTGGTACAAACATAACCTTTATATCAGTTAAACATCTCATTTTGTTATTTATATATCATCACTGTATATAAGGCTCTAACATTACTGTTGAAAAGTGTGAAGTTCTCATGCTATAAAATAATTTTATGAAGAGTCATAAACAGTTTAGCCCAAATACTGAATGTTCTCCTATTCTCTTAACATTTCTTCAGTCTGAAAAACAGAATAATAATACCACCTAACACAGAGTGTTGTTGAGGGTGTCAAATGAGGTAACATATGCAAAGTCGTTAACACAATACCTAGCACATAGTAAGCATTCATTCACTTGACACGTGTCAGCTATTAATTAGCAGCAGCAGCAGTGGCTGTAGCAGCACCATTAGTATTATCTTAACAAGGTCAGGTGACTTCTTTCCTTAAATAGGGCTTTCAAAACAAACCTTACACTTTTACTTAGCAACTTCTCAGCTAAAAAGGTTTTTTTTCCCCCCCAACATTTCACTGGCCATTTGATGCTACTGAACATTTCTAATGATGAATGAGACAGACACTGAAAATTAAAAAGCTGGATTAGATATATAAATCAAATATTCAGTGGGATCAGGTGAACATAGGAATAAATAAAAATAGACCCTGATCACCAGGAATAAAGGACGTCAAGCTCCTATATATCTTTTACTTCAAAGAACATTGAACTGTCAGCAACACAAATATTCATGGAAGGAACCTTATTAACAGTGAAAGAACTGGATATAAATAAACAAAAATATGCAGTAAATTTAGGCGGAAAAAATAGGTACTCTGCATCTATTCACAATGAGTCTTACCTCATCAGGGCTAGGAATAATATTTACACTGACAACCTGATCACAAATAATAGACTCTGAATGTATTCTGTTCAACCGACTCCTTAGTTCAGCATTCTGGTTGAGTGCCTTAAAATAATAAAAACCAAACATGTAATTTAAAAATAATAAGCAAGCATAAAACAGAACAAGTATACAGGCACAAGCTAGACGGTAATGTCTGTGATGTTCTTAGCTCTAACTTTTGAAACCATCATGAGCCAGACCCTACCAGCAAGAAGGAAATACATGGCTCAAAATTAAGGTGTTAATTTTTTATAATATAAGATTGCTACTTTTCAGGTTAGTGGGCTGAAAGAGTTAATAGATTTCATAAAAGTGATTCATGAAATTTTCTTTCCCTCAGAGTGAGGCCCATAAACTTAAGCCCAATCTAACACTACATATACATTACTTTTTGCAGCCTGTGATGAAAAATATTGTTTTCATTGAAAATTCTTTCACATTTTTAGTTTCTGAGGCTTGGAAGTTGTTTCAAAGCTGGGTAATTATCTTAAAAATTAGTTAGAAATCGAACGAACTTGCTTTGGTTTATAGAATTATATTTTAGTCTGTTTAAAGAAAATATCTGTATTTTCATTTTCCAGGAGCACATAATTAATACATATGACAGTGCTGCAGAACTAACAAGTGCAAACAAAAAGATGTCTTCACTGAACAGTGTAGACATTGACAACCATAATAAAGAACATAACACTGAAAGTACAACAATTCTAAGTTCTCTACGTGACACTACCTCCAACATGCTTTGAGTTAGTATCAGCAAAACACTACTTGCTACAACACAATTTATTATGTGGAGCAACTGCATTTATTACAAGAAGAGAACAGTTTTACATAAGCATGGCAACCCCACAAGGACCCTGTGGACTAAGGTATAGTGAGTCCTCTGAGAACAAACATCCATCCCACTGATACACAGAAACATGTTCCATTTGTAGAGTACAGATGTAGCTAGCTGGAATTATATCAAGCCTCAAGTTAAAGATCTGTGAGAAGATAAGGCCCAGTGAAAAAATCGCCTTCTTTTCCTTCCCATTAAAATCAGCAATTAGAAGATGTAAAGATATAAATGTCAGTGCCTAGTAAAGAGGGCATCTGCTCCAGGGAATGGCCATTCTGCTTCATTCAGAGCCAATGACTACAGTAAACCAATACATATACAAATATAATCTCATAATTACAACACTGTACCTATTAAAATACCCAGGGTAAATACAAAGTAGCTAAACTCTGCCTGCACTGAGGAGTGCTTACTCCTTGAGCATGGAGCACAGAACAGCCTCTCCTCTCCTCTCTCCATCCTGGTCCCCTTCCTTCAACCCAGCTTTTGCTTTTTGAGGACAGAACTATCACTTGCAGCTTTTGGCTTTTATTTGAAGCTGTTACAACCAGTTTGTAAAATATGTCAAATCATATACTTGATCTGGAGGGCTGTCATATTGATGGATTAAAAGTGGATACAGATGCTACAGTCATTACATTTGGAGATAGGAGGAAATACATCTCTGACTATCTGAGAAAACAGAAATGTTTTAGGGAGAAAAAGGTGATAACATTCTTAGTAAATAAACCATGTGCCTCAAAGGAAGACTCCTAGCATCTTTTTAACCTGAAAAAGTGCTCAGGATCGTTTTTCTTGGAGCTAAATCTCAAACACTTAGAATTAGAAACAACAACAACATTGCAATACTATTTTCTGTTGTGAGTACTATAGGCCTTTGGTCCTGTATGTTAGGACCACAAAAGATTTTATTCTTGATTCTTTCTCTGCTTACAAGTAAATGCAAAGTTGCCTTAGTTACTGAAATATTTGGAACCAGTTACGTTTTGCTGTCACATTAAGTGGGAGGTTTATGGTAAGGTATATGATAGTTTTAATTGCTGAATCGGTTTTTTTGGTTGTTGCTTGCTTTGAGACAGACTCTTGCTCTGTCACTCAGGCTGGAGTACAGTGGTGTGATCTCAGCTCACTGTAACCTTGGCCTCCTGGGTTCAAATGATTCTCATGTCTCAGCCTCCTAAGTATCTGGGATCCTACGTATCAGGTGTGCACCACCACACCTGGCTAATTTTTGTGTTTTTAGTAGAGATGAGGTTTCACCATGTTGGCCAGACTGGTCTTGAACTCTTGACCTCAAGTGATCCTCTGGCCTCAGCTTTCCAAAGTGCTGAGGTTACAGGCAGGAGCCACTGTGGATGGCCCAGAATCACAATCTTGACCTGAGGGTTTTATACAAACCTCAAATAATGGTTCCTCCAAAGTAGCTACACATTCTGTTGCCACTCTAAAGTGTGTTAACAAAATAATGCTACAAAAACTCAAGGGCAAGGCTAAGTAGTGGTTTTCTTCAAGGTGGGAATGCTAAAGATAGTTTGCCGTTTATAAGGAAATCTTGCTCTGGATATTCAAAAAAAATTAATTCTTACTTATGCTCTAATCTTATTCCATGTTCATTAAATGTGATCCTGCCTACAGGTATGTGTGATGGGCACAAAAGATAACATCTAGCCATTAATATCAATGAAAAATAAGGTAAAAGGTTTTTAAAATTAAATTTAATTTATTCTTTTTTAGATGTGATGTGAAAAATAACAATTCTGGCCTTGGAGTCAGAAGATCTGGTTCTCTTGATCTCAGGGCTAAGTGGTCTTGACCAAGTTACTTAACCTTTCTGGGGTTGTATGAAATAAACATATAAATTGATTGAAATGCTAAGTCAGAATCCTGAACGGTGCTTCTTGGTTATCATTATGAAGATCAACTAGAATCCAGAATAGTGTAAAAATAATTCTGGGTTTGGGAATTTTCTGATGCTTAGATTATGGTTCATAGGAATTTCTATAGTTTATGGGGGAAATCATCAGTATTTGGCTTCTGATAAGAGCATAATCAATGTATTTTTACATTCTATGCAAAGTTTTCTTTGGCATTCGTTGGGAAGGTCTGAAGAGAGTTTTATCACCTATGTTTTTACTTAATTCCCTTATTGTTGAAACCCTGTTCTCTCTTCTATTAATGGCAAAAAGAGTAGCATGGGAACAAAAGAAAGAAATATTCATTAAAATATTTCTTATTAAGATGAAGCCTGGCTGTGGTGGCTCATCCCTGTAATCTCAGCACTTTGGGAGACCAAGGCAGATGGATCACTTGAGGTCAGGAGTTTGAGACCAGCCTGGCCAACACGGTGATACCCCATCTCTACTAAAAATACAAAAATTTTTAGTGTGTGAGGCAGCACACACCTATAGTCTCAGCTACTCAGGAGGCTGAGGTGGGAGAATCACTTTAACTCTGGAGGTGGAGATCGCAGTGAGTCAAAATTGTGCCGCTGCACTCCAGCACAGGCAAC